CCTACGGCTTCATTTGCAAAAACGACAACCATAGCGAGCTAACCAGCATTCTGAAAATGTAATTGCGTTTGTAAGACTAACTCTTCAATTGCTTTAAAGTTATACAATGTACTCAGACAATGTGTCCCCCATGTAAAGACCTATTCTTTACCTATGAAACTGCCGTCCGTCCCGTGGTACTGGCCATTTCAAATCAAAACAGTTTTTGTTAGGCTAAGGCTAATTAATTTTGTTTTGAAAACATGGGATTCTTTTTCCAAAAGTAGTCATTTGTTTATTGATTAGTGTTACATTTTCATCGCATTTCAAATCAAAAAAATATAATGTATATATCTGCTTTATACCTCGAAGCATTAGTAATGTTCAATTAATTCTGGGCCACGTTCTCGCTCGCTGACGGTAATTATAACAAGATTCAGGTGGCGAACTCGAGCGCATGAGCAATTTACTTCCAGAAGCGAAGCCGCGACTCAAACAGATCATGCCAAGCGTGAAAATTTGAAGTCTGTGAATGTAAGGCCGGGGGTAAGGGGAGGGGGTACTAAACCGCGTTCTTTACCTCTTTGAATGGATGTAATAGCAATTGAAAATACATAATTTTGATAGTGTAGCTACGTAGGTACGCGTTATAGGAAAAAACATTTAAAGGATTAAAAACATTTTTCAGACCTTACTTATTTTTCAATCTTATGATTTTGTAACATAGTTCAAAATCTATTAATAATAAGTATATTAATAAATGTATTCTCGTTATAGCATTCAGATTCAGTTGACAAAAGGAAAGTAAGATAGATAGGGGTTTGCGGGGCAAGCGCCGCCTAAAGCAGCAGATAGATAAATATAGTTTGTGGATATTTGTTAGGTACATGAATAAAGTTGAGAGACTCCAGCCTTTTAGATAATGAGAACAGCGGCCACTCGTCTTAAAGAGACGCCCCCCTTGTGGCTTTGGCCAGAAGTCGGGGAGCCGCTCGACCTTGCCTACCTACCCACAAAGTCCCAGACTTTTATCAACTTTTATAACGAGACCACGGTACTGTTGAGATGAAGTTTCATTTTATTAACACCCTTTACGTAATAGGTAGCCTGACGTAGCCAGGAGAAAAGTTTTGAACAGGCCCAAATTAATTAACAAGCTTATGAACGATGGTTAAAAAAGAAGTAGGTATACACATAGGGATGTAGAATGTTTTTTTATTGTTAAATTGTATTAAAAGTACACCTATAAAAATAGACCATATTAATATATTGTAAAATTAAAATTAAATAGAACAATTTTTCTCTAGAGAAATTTAAACCTGGCCAATCTACTGAAATAAAACGACACAAGTGCCTCATTAAAATACACTTTGAACTTTCCCTGCAGTGTAATGTAGTGAAAAATAATGCGCCAATTAAATTTAAATTAAGCGTTTTGTTACCCACACCAATCGCGTGTTAGAAGCCACTCGGGGTCGCCTTGCCTATTTTAAGCTGCATATTTGCATTACATTGAATGATGAGGCCCATATAGCATGGCGACGTTTAAAACACTTTATGTTCCACACGAAATATTATAATTAGGTAGGTACATATTTTAGTTGACATATTTATGAATTCGTTTACATATAACAGTATTATTTACTTTATTATACTGGCAAGTACCAATGTGACTTTTTTCGAGTTACTTTAGATATACGTTAGACATGTAGGTACTTTCTATGATTATTTAGACACCAATGACATATGGTGAAGGTAAACATCGTGAGGAAACCTGGACTTATAATTTCTAATTATAAGTTTGAAATCGCCAACCCGCATTGTGCAAGCGTTGTGATTAATGCTCAAACCTTCTCCGTGTGAGAAGAGGCCTTTGCTCAGCAGTGCGCACTTATGGGCTGATGATGATGATAACATTATTTAAAATAAAATGCGAACGTACCACCAAGGCGAACCGCGGCCTCGGCCTGAAGTATTTAGTAGATGGTACGAGGTGATTTTTAGTCAGTAAGAGTCTGACTCTCACTCGTGCCCCACTCAGGGTGGGAGAAGTAAGTAATTTGACGACTTGCAGAAATACGGTAGTTTCCAACTAGTCAAATTCAATAGATGCTTTTATCCAAATGTCAAAAACGATACTTTTCTATAAAATTTGTATAAAAAAATGAGTTATTACGTCATAGTTTTTTGGCGTCAAATAGCATACTTATTTCTTATAAAATAGCTAAAAAATATCTAAAATTCTGTGTATCGATCGATCGATGAATAAAAGTATACTTAGTTTAGTCAATATTTTTTTTTTATTTTTTTTAAACACTGCCCCACATTAGGATTTTCTCCTGTGTCGTGGGTGACAGACCCGGAACAACAATCTGTGGATCACACAAAGAGTTGTTGCGTGTGAATCGAACCCGCGACACGTTGCGTGGCAGCCAGTTGCCCAGCCACCGCACCAACCGTGCAGTCGCTCGTATCGATTTAATTTATTTTTGGCCTAGAAAACTACCCAATTATGCAGATAAAAAAAATTATATTGACTATATGTTTTAAACGCACTGAACATTGAATAAACCTAGCAATACATAAATGAAAATCTTCATTTTGTACATGTTTGAAACAAAATGGTAAGTATTTTTCATTGACGGCTTGAGTTTGTTATTTATATATAACATAAGTAGGTAAACTAAAAAATAAATAAGCCAATACTAGCCCATTAAGAACATAACCTATTGTGACGGAAAAGATGTTCAAACTCTTTTGTTAACTTCATTGACATCATGACGATTATGGATGGTTGTCAAACGTTGCCTAGAGATTGTAAATTTCGTCGTGAATTGTCAACATGAATTGGAGTAATCGGTAAGGCATGTGGATACCAGCGAGACCCCGAGTTCGAGTCCCGCCGTAAGCATGAAGTTTTTTAGTTGATGGAAATTTTTGTTGAACTTTCTGGAAGGCACGTAACACTATTAATAATTTTGAAAATAATTACAATAAATTTACTAACTCTACTTATGATTTTAACTAAAACTAATGACTTAATCTTGGATTGAATACAAATGAATTACTAATTAAAAAAATATGGATGAGTAAAATAAACTTCAATAAAAACAAAACTAATGACTAGGCGGTATGGTCTCGGACCTTAGCCTGTTCCCAAGGAACGATTAATAATAAAAAAAAAATTACAATAAAGAGTTTATGATTTATACCTAATTCAAAATAGGCAGACCCATCTGTATACCACGTAGGCGTAGGTACATAGGTAGGAACAGCCGGTGCTTCATTTGATTGATGAACAATTAAAACAATGTTCATCCCATTATACTACCTGTAACGGCTGCAGAACATACATTTCACAACATTTCTTATTAAATTCAGAATAACGGAGATCGTATCATGATTGATATTATAATCTGTATTTTGTTTATTCCATACCTTTATTTATTCTATACTTTACTGTACCATAATTATAGGACGAACTAAAATATAATGTGTCACCTTTGGATGAAGTAGGTAGGTAAGTAAAGATCAGGATTCGAGAAACAAAGTTTTAAGATGATGAAGATACAATAATGCTTAAACGTAAATACTTAAAATACAAAATAAATACTATACTTAGATACATTGACTAAAATTAGATACATTTACATTATGAATTATATAGATTACCTATATATTTTTCTTTTAATTTTTTACTTAATGTAGGTAATTGGTCGGCAAACGAGCAGACGGATTACCTACTGGTAAGCAATCAGGACACCCGCAACGGAGGATTTACGAGTGCGTTGCCAAACTTTTAGGGATTAGGGATTTGGAGATTTAGGGATTGAAGAAGGATTGGGGGCGGGGAAGGATTGGGCCTCCGGTTGTTTCACGCTGGTCTTCTGTGAGGCCGTGGTATCACTCCGGTCGAGCCGACCCATTCGTGCCGAAGCGTGGCTCTCCCACGCTTAATTATTATATTTATATATAATTATTATACTTAATTATTAAAAGAAAAAATATTTCAATGGCAAAGTTGATTCTTTTGAGTAGAACCCGATATTTTTAAATGTCTAATTTTCGAATAGATACGGTCTAGCTCTATTAGCAGCAGCGTTAAAACTGTCGGTAGTCGAAATATAAAATTCGTGAACCGAAAATAACACGACCGCCACAGCAGCAACATAAATTCAAACAACTCTTGTATTGCATTGCATAGGGACTTGGCTATACACATATGTATATTCGCATCTGCGCCATTTTTCACATAAATCCTTTTTTGTACCGATCCACCAATTTGTTAGGCTCTAACCCAAAAATATCGCCAAGAAAAGGGGATTTAAAAACCCAGCCGTAAATAGCAATGAATCGACTTTGACTTACGTGATTTGTATGACGTATTTCGTTTAAAAGGTCGTGTTTAAAGTAAAAATATCGATATACCATTCGCCATTCAAAAAAAGGAACACAATTCGATCTCGAAATTAAAATTCGAAATAACACATTTCAAATTGTGTATTTCCTATGTCAAAAATAAATTAATTCGACGTTTGAATACAATAAAATATTGAAAAATAACCATACTTTTATTCATTGATCGATCGCTACATTAAGTTTTAGATATTTTATAGCTAGATAATTATTAAGAAATAAGTAAGCTCTTTGACTCAAAAATACTATGACGTCGTAACTCAGTTTTTCCATACAAATTTCATAGAAAAGTATCGTTTTTGACATTTGGATAAAAGCATTGAATTTGACTAGTTGGAAACTACCTTATTGCGCTATTTTACATCGAGATTGAGATTTTGTTTATTTATATTATAATTACGCATAGTGAAAAAATGGTAGCATTGGCGTCAATTAGAATTTTTGAATTTTTTGATGTTTCGCCAGTTTTAATGACATGATGGAAAACCAAACCCTGATCAAGAACCCATGATTCTTAAACAATGATCTGATGACATTACGATAACCAAAAAAATTAATAAAATCATGTTTTTTTTTAACTAGAGGTTTGTTTAATATTATTTTAGGTTCTGCAATCCAGGCCAGTGAGTATGGTCGTCCAGTGGAGTGAAGTTCGCACCGCTTGGCAGGACAGTGACTTCATAACCGAGTGTCTATGCTGGCACAACGTCTACCGCCAGAGACACGGCGCACCACAGCTCTACATGGCACCAGAGGTAATTATCATAAACGTAGTGGTTACATACTCTTTGGTAATTATCGTGACATTTTTAATTATAATCATTCCGCGATTGATGTTGTGAATTATGTTTTTTCGTTGAATTTGAATTAATTTTTGATTTCAATTTTTTTTTACCTAAATATATTTTTATATTTTTATAAAATATTTTACTCTTACCGTTAAAATCTTCGATCAACAATAGCAAGGTACGGTTGATAAAAGGTTAAAATTCACCATTATCGTAAAACAGCTGGTCCCATGTTGGGCGCCAAAATAAAGTTACTAGCGAGATATAGATTATACACTTTAACTGGAATAACCCATCTATTGTCATACGCTTTGCCATGTTTTGTTAACCGTTTAGAAAACGGCTGTAGATCGAAAAAGTATCTATACACAATCGATAATATACATATGTATGTAGGTGTATATATGATTACGTACACCAAGTATTTAGTGGTTGTCTTTTGCTTCGGTTCTGCCCCAGAGTGAAACTTGGCGCTTTAGAGTAGATATATATGTTCTGTGACTTGGCGTGACCCCTGGCGTACTTGGCGTATGTTTGTAATAAAGTAATGCATCTTACTCGTATTTATCAAAAAAAAAGTCAAAAATCATTTATTCCAGTTAGACCCGTACAGGCACTTTTGAACGCCAAACAAAATATATCTTCTTTAGATGTAGATTTAAGAGTATGTGAAAACAAAATTTGATAATAAATATTTGCAGTTATGCGACTACGCACAAGCGTGGGCAAATCACCTGGCGCACACTAACAAATTCCACTACAGAAATGATCGAGATGTCGGCCAGAATTTGTACCAACGACCTGTCAGCGCTCTACAACCAGATGTCACAGGTATGAGGTCACACGTACCGCTACTGAGGTCGTAACTTGTTTTAAAAATAAAAATAAACACTCAAATTAGACGTAAGCGATAAAAATTGATTCGTAAAACTTTATCAGCTATAGATACTTATTTGTATCTAGATTATGAATTCTGTTACCTTTTTCTTTTAGTCTTTTATAAAATGTAGGAGAAATTGCTTTTTTCTTTTTCTTATTTTCTTCAAAAAACTTAACCTAACACTAATATTTTCTCCTGTGTGTACCTAAAAATGTTAAAATTAAGAGTGAATGAACCATTTCTTTCATATAAATACAGAACATATTGCTACTTGCAAAACAACTTAGATATTTAGCGACCAATCCTGGCCAAGCCCTTAGGTGTCACTGTCCGACTTAAGACACTTGGAGTAGGTATTTTTTCTTATGTCGCAATGTGTAACATAAGACATTCGAGAGGAGTACAATATCGCCGATCTTCTTAGCTTTCTCCTGTGTCGTGGGTGTGTTTACAAATAAAACATTTCACATAAATTAACTACACGACTAGAACCGGATCAACAATTCGTGGATCACACAGTGTTCTTGCGTGCGAGAACCGAACCCGCGATATGTTGCACGGCAGCCAGGGCCAGCCACCGCAGCAAACTACCTACAAGGCAATATCGGTTTTTTTTAATTTACATAAACATTCATTGTTTTATTATATATATATATATATATATAATTATTTTAATTTATTATAGATTTTGTAGTGCTCTTTCTATTTGATGAAATAAATACTTTTTGTAGTTTTTTTAAGTAAGTTACCACCCTCCCTCCTCCCTCCGTCCTTGTCAGGGGAGGGGGGGAGGGTAGATGGTACTCATCGAACACTACATGTCACTTCGTACCCCCTGTCAGAGAATGTCACACTTTGTCGAATTCTCCCACGTATAATTACGTCACACGTGAATCCCTTTCACGTGTGACGTAATTTTTGAATGACCCCTAATTCCCTCAAACTGCTTTTGGCTTTCAGGTCAAGAAGTGTCTTCCTACTGGTACGCCGCGGTGCGCCAGTACAGCTATTTCAAAGAGCCGGATGTACTCCACGCAAATGTTAACGCAGGTAGGTAAATAATCAGCCGGGGTTGCGGGGTAAGCGCAATGAGGCACCGCGACCTCGGCCCAGAGCAGGAGAAGGAACGGGGGTTTTTTAGTCAGTAAGAGCCTGACACTCCCTCCCGCCCGGCCCTGGGCGGGAGAAGTCATTTGATGATTTTCCCCTCACAAAAAAAAAAACGTAGGTAAATAATGTTAACCAAATTATGTATGTAAAATAATTTATATTCACTTTTTTGCTACTGAATTTTACATTGATTTCAAAATTGACTTAAGAAAAGCGTAGGTACGTGCTGCATTTTAAATGTACAATTTTAATTATCTAGATGACCGTTATATTTTATTCATCCCCGGACTCCTTTACAAACAAAATTTCATCGAGATGATTGGAGCCGTTTCCAATATATTATTTTATACGCTTAATTTAGGTATTAGATATTTCTTAATTGTGTATTTTGTGTGTAGATATTTAATATCTTTAAATGCACGCAAACAACACTTAGGTACGTTGTGTTTCGGTAAGTTACTCCATCCTTATCCTCAATTCTTAAATCCCTAATAACCCATAAAAAACTAATAGTCAATGCCAAAAAAAATATACGAGAATATCTAAATGCCACACAACGCCATCTATTGTCCAATAGCGGTCAATAAAACACATTATTCAGTTGTAGTTGTAATGTTGTAATGTTAGGAACAGTGGTTTTTTTAGCCGACTACGGCAAAGTAGTATGTATGTATGTATGTTCATCTGTTCCCTCGTATCTTTTAAACTACTGATCAGAGTTAGACAATGGGCATATCATTAGAAACTTCTTATTGTCCGCTGGTTATAGGCTACATGGGGTATCACAAAATCTAATGTGGCGTCCTCTAGCAGACAAAACATTCAGAGTAAAAAATAAAGTTAAGATAAATATTTTTCAGTGTTCTGAAAATCTTGTTTTATACTTATTCAGCGTCGTTTCTTGACGTAGTTGGGTTTTAGTTTTTATGTCAATAAGAGTCTGAAACTTCCACTCGCCCCACCATTGGCAGGAGAAGTCATTTGTACTGTTTCAATGTTAAGTAATTCATTTCTTTACTATTTCAGGTCACTTCACGCAAATGGTTTGGGTTGCCACGACATTCTTCGGCGTCGGGAAAGCTCGTTCCCGGGACGGTAAAGTTATAGTAGTGGCCAACTACTCCCCGCCAGGCAACTTGTCTGGACAGTTCGAGGCTAATGTCCTGCCCCCGCTGCCCGAGAACTTCCCAGACATACCAACGCCCCCACAACACTGACGAAGGCTCTCCATACGTGGCAGAAGGCTTAAGATCGACGCCACGTTCTTACACTGAAGAAACGTAGCCATATTCGTGTGACTTGGTTGTATTGGATTTTAGGACAAAAACCCAATTAACACAGGTACCTATTGAGAGAGAAATTTCAAAATTCATTGTTATAAAACGGTTTTTATGACCGAATGTTTTGTTATGGAATCTTCTAGAAGTGACATAAGTTGTCCGAATGCGTCTGGTTACTCAAACAACGAGACAAACATCATTTTACATTTAAAATTCGAATACCATGAATAATTTCAAGATTCCGCTGTAAAAGTATGCGACTTACAATCATGCCGCTAGATAATCAATAATCATAGACACCGGAGCACCAAATAATCCGTCTTCGAATCACGCCGCCGTCCGCTTAGCAAACAAATAAATTATTCTAATTAACACATTAAGGTGTCAAACTAATATTGTGTAGGGAACACGACACTGTACGGACCCACATCAATACAATTTAATATTCGGAGTACTTAATTATTTTATTTTCGTATTACCTACACGTCAACAAAAATTATTATTATAGATTTCCTATTGATTTAAAACAGCTACTTCGTCTTCCACGCTAAGCCTAACTTTTGATGACTTGCATAAACAGATAATCTACTCTAATCTCATTCCAATCACTCGCCTGGCTCTTAAATGATCGTCGTTGATAGCTTTTAACATTGACACTTCCGAACCATCACGAGGTAACAAGCCATCATAAAGGCTCCCCAGAAAGAGCTATAACAAGGAATCTTACGATCAATGATTTCTTAACACCAAAACAATGCGACCGTTACCGTCCGGTTAGCAAAAATTGATACCTATTGGTGTACCTAAATTCTATACTAAACTAAGTAACTATTTATCTTCCAAGCTTGTCTTTAAACTATAGAAAAATGGTTGTTTTGCCCGAGCTTGAATTTGATAAATTTTATTAGAACTTAGAAGCAATTACAGTAATACGCACATGCCTACATGTTAGTAGATATATAGGTATAAATAGGTTAGTTTACGCTCCAAATACCAAAAAAAATACTTAGGTAAATTACGACGTATATTATTTAATAGTAAAAAACAACATTGAAACTTTAGGTTAAATAAAATTAGTTTTGTCGTAGAAAAGAAACGATTTAGTTAATCTAGTCTCTAGCCATGGCCTATAGAAACAGACCCCATTTTACAGATTAGTAATAAAATAATCGAGCTGAAAGAATGGTATGTATAGTATATTATCAGTGCTTCATTTAAGGATATTAATACGTGGACCTATTTTGATTATAAGTAAAAAGTTTTCAATTGTCGCATTTACAGATGATTTTCACATTCGTATATAATTTTGTTAATAACAGGATAAAAAAAATGAATGAAGTATAGTATATATAAATATATTTTTTAGAGATAATTTTAGTGAATTTAACTTGCACTTTGTCAATGGTGCAAAATCAAAAAATAATGACATACCGACTACCGACTAGCGGCGCCATCCCCCCCAGTAGCAATGTCTACAGTTATTTATCACGGAGTACCTTGTATACGGTTATTTTACAATGAAGATGGCGCCCCGTTATTATTAACTAAATTAATATTTATTGTAAAGTGAATCTACATATATTATGTTCATTGTTATAAAACTGTTCCAAAGGTTTGTGATAAGTACCCTAAATAGTAGTATATTTTTTCATTTGTCAAAATTTCGTGTTAAAAATATAATAATAAAACGTTTGAGAAGCACTTGCGTGGCGTGTCGTGTCAAGACAGAACGCACTCACCGACTTCACAGTACGCGACACGACGCGCCTCAGTAGTATTTCAGGTTCATGATTTATTATACAGGGTGTAAAAAGACCTATTCTACCCACTATTTGGATCATTTTTTTCTTTAAGACCATAGCTGGGACTCCACGGGTTCTCGAGATATTGAAGGTCAAAGATGCATTTTTATTTTTTTCCAAACAAACATTACCTGAATTTTCAATTTTTCTAAATAAATTACGCACTTGAAGTTACGAACAGTAATGTACGTAATAAATAAATGCAGACCCGCACAAAAAACATCGTGCATCTCAGTAGGATTTTTATTTTACAGAATTGTTTTGTTGTTGCGAAAATGTCGACCTGTACTTAACACAGCGTTTTAATGCTAAGCTGTGAACCTACGCACACAATGACACGAAGCCCGTTTGCTTTACATTGCGCGCAATAATTTTTTTTCTGATACCCAAAAATATAAGTTCTTTCCCAGTGACAATTTTAGCGTAAAGCTACTTAGTTAGAACTGCAGTATGCGTAGTTAACGGCTTCGTTAAGTGTCTTTTTACACCCTGTACGAGGACTTCCAGTGCATCCAACCAACTTCAATTTTTTTACAATTTACAATTATCTTCCTAATTTTAAAAGTGTAAACCAAATTTCGTCCCAGTTAATAATACTTATTTGAGCTTCCAGACCAGGAAAACGGGATATTATGTACTGTAAATTTTAAGTTTTCCTGCTTTATTTGTATTAATACAGATTAGTCTGTACAAATTATCATGTCAATTGATACCGGTTAGAAGTATCGGTGAAACCATACATCACATACCTAGATGGTTGGCAGTCAATAACAACTGTGTTAATATTTTGGACCCGCACAGCAAATCTTTGGAATGATCTTTCGGTGGCGTTATTTCAGAATCGATCGAAGTGTGGGAGAGCCATGCTTCGGTACGAATCGGTCGGCTCGACCGGAGTGATACCATGGCTTCACAGAAAACCGGCGTGAAACAACCACAGCGTTGTCTTTCGCCGTGTGAGTGAGGTTACCGGAGGCCCAATCCTTCCCCTCCCCCAATCCCTAATTCTCCAAATCCCTAATCCCTAAACGGTCGGCAACGCACTCGTAACTCCTCTGTTGAGGGTGTCCATGGGCGGCGCTGATTGCTTACCATCTGGTAATCCGTCTGCTCGTTTGCCGACCTATAACATAAAAAAAAATCGATACGACCTTTATATCTTCAAGAGACGAGCATCCTATTTCTACCGGGCGGCAACGCGCCAGTGAGTCCACTGGTGCCGCAGGTGTCCATGGGCGGCGTCAATTACTTACCATCGAGTGATCCACTTAATCGTTTCCTCCTATTATAAAAAAAAACATTTCGATGTATGGTTTCTCCTATACTTCTAGTGCAATTATAAAATTAATAAACTAATTTATAAAACTCTATAGGTGCTTCGAAAGCGCTGTAAAGTTGTTTGAAAATTATTATTATTAAGTGTATGAACTTAATTATAAGTACTCGAGAGAAAATATTTTCTATTTAGATTTAGTGAGCCTAAAAGGTTAATTAATTTTACTTATGATTTTATTGAAGTAAAAATTTGTTTTTATAAATATTAAATTCCATGTAAAATTACTTAACTGCTAAATTTGCCATATATAAAATTGATTGCTATTTTCATAAATGTTTAAAAAAAGTCAGTTTTTATTTTGAATTCAAAACTTGTCGTAATGCTGTACTTTAACACCTTCTCTAGTGTATAAATAAACCAATGACGATAAAGGTAACCACCTGGTTATATCGTCCTTGGTATAAACCATTTCGAACTTTTACCAATACCTTCCAACAACTAATTAGAGCTTGATTTTAGACTTTGAACTTTACTGCACATGCTTTTAGGGCACAACTTTATACTAGGCCTATGCTGTTTATATTTGTTGATATAAATTAGACAATCTAACTGGGCTTCTATGTACTAATTATAATAATTACCTTGACTCTTCGAAATAAAGAAGCTGTTTTTAGTATTTACATTTAGTAAACTTTAAAGTAGTACCTATGTACCTACATAGATTTATAGGTAATATTGAAGTTTGTTTAAATTATTGTCAAATAAATTATCTTCATGTTGTTTGTTTCAAGTTGGAAACCACACTATTGTGCCAAATTAGTGCAAGAAGCACTTCTATGTCATATTCCTTTAGAGAAATGAAATGTTGCAGAGACTCAGAACTAATTCTTCCAAAGAGTATATAAACACTACATTCTATTCTTCTTCTTATCTTAGAATTCCAAATTTAAATCATTTCAATAAAGCAAAAAGAAAATATATATTAAAAGGCAATAAAGGAATACTTTTTAAATTGTTTATTGTTATATTATTATGTTGTAAGATGTTTTTAAAAATGTTAAGGATTTCAATTGATTTGAGTAGAAATTCAATGTTTATGGATAAAAGGCTGTGAATTGTTAACTGTTGTATAGAACAGATTTGCTTGGCAATATTTTTAGTTAATAAAGTGTTCAAAATGGTGTTTTTTTTTAATTTCGTTTAGTCACCACTGCTTTATGAGATACAAGACCCTACTTAGATTTGCCTTCTTACAAACCACAGACCTAATTATTAACATTCATATACTAACGGTCCATCACTGGTTGACATGGGTGTCAGTAATTTGTTTTGTAAATGAACTGCTATAGCATGGTAAAGGTTTGTTTGTTCAACAATACCTTAAAAATGTCGTTTGTATCAGTCGCCGACCTAAGCAAACACAAGATGAGAAGAAATATCTGAATCTGCCAAGCCAATCACATGCAAGTTCATTTGAGGCACAAGACTATACTGGCCGTCATTGATATTTGTTTGAGGTTTCATGAATTACCCTGTAATACAGTACCATGGAATCTAATAAATTACCCTACATATGTATATGGTATTACTGGTTTCGTTAAGTGGGCAATCTTTTTAATTTTTTATGTAGCAGAAATAAAACAACTTTTAAAATAATATGTTTATTGGCCTTACAACTTAATTTCTTACATCTTACAAAAAAAAAAACATTCACTCAGTCCACCTATGCTTACAACTAGTGCACACATAGTATAGTCTCATTTCTTCTTCAGCGCGTCTGGTTTGTCCCTGGAAGAATACCGCCTCTCTGTGGTTGCAATTGGGACACATATGATCTTTCGTCCGAGGTAAAGTAGGAT